TAGAAATCCATCTGAGTCCTCACCATGTTCCTGAATCCCTGTCAATTCATTAGCACCTTAATCATCACGAAAAGAAATGAAGGCAAAAAGAATAGACGGATTTTTTTTAGGAAAGTGAGAAAGGCAGTCCATACAACGGATACAGTTGTGTAGGTTTAATTCAAAACACACAATTTGTTTTAGAAATAAAGCCTCCTCTCTAGACTATAAAATCTATGGTTGTACAAAACTCAGCGTAGATAGGTATTTCATCGCTGTTATCCAAGCTGAGAAACAGCAACCAGTGCTTTTCGACAGTTACATTTCTGTGTACAGCTGAAAATCTCAATAGGTCAGCATAACTTGCATGTATTAAAAATAAATTATTATCTAGTTGAGTTTCATCATCCATACTAAACTGGGCACTCAAAAACAAGCCTCCCGCAACAACAGTCAAGCCTCAACTTAACTTTCAAGACTATTTCAAGAAGTGAGGGAAGGATGTTTTTAAATTCTCTTTGACTGTATCCATTTGAAAATGACTGAGTTAAGAGGAAGAATGGAAGCAGAATTTTACTTTGCCTTTAGCTTGGACCAATCTTTCACCCCTCCATGTCAGTTTAGCACTCTAGAGAGAAGGAAACCGGTCTTACCGATATCCAAAGACTTGCCCTGCTTTGGGTCGGCCTGAAGCTTGTTGTAGTGTATCGTCACTTCTCCCTGTAGAAAGAGCAAGTCCAAAACTGCTGGGCCAGAAGCAAGTAGCAGTGGCTTCCTTCACCAATGGACATTAAAGTAAGCTATGACCCAGAAGCTCCAGTGGCCTCCTCCTACCTCTCACCTTTACCATCTGTATCATCTTGGCCACCTCCACCTTAGTTTTCCCTTTGACGGACTTCCCATTCACTCCTGTGATTTCATCACCAGCTGCTACGGTGCCATCTAAGGCTGCTGGAGTGTTATCAAATACCTAGGAGAGAGGACAAAAAGCACTGGTAGTCTGGAATCAAGAGGAAGAGAAAAGTGAACGCAGGGCTGAAGAACAAAAAAGGGACAATTACAATCCTCCTATTTAACTCAGTTGCATTTTGTTCATGGTGAAGACTCAAATTTTCCCTAACTCAGGGGTGGGCTGATCCTTTTATTCACTCAGGAAGTTCTTGCCTCTGGGACATATCTCTTCAAGCACTGGATTTCTTGATGTTGAGAATGTCACACCATTCCCTATGAATTCTAACTTGCTCTCCAAGGAGATGGTTAATTTCAGAAGTCTTAATTTAATTCTTCCACAACTATTTGGTACTAGCGTAAGGAAATGTTATTCACTGGAAAGTAAGATGATGTTTTCCACTTTGAGACAAACAAACAGCGTAGGGCTCTCCACACTTCCCATTTCTCAGGCCAACACTGTTTTACAAAGATGGTTTATTCTTCCTCCCCAAGTGCCCACCTGGACAATGTAGAGACAGGGGCAGTACTGTGCTCCGCCCCCAATGCTGATCCCTATCAGGTTCTGAGAATCCTTCTTCAGGGTCACTGTCCCAGGTACAGTGGGGATCCCTCTAGAATGAGAAAGGCGGAATGAATAACTGAACACGGTAGGCAGAGCTGCATGTGTATGAAACAACTCTGGTATCTGAGTCAATACAAACTGGAAATGTAACGGGCACTGCGCATTTGAGTTCATCACATTATCTCTGCCATAGAGTCTATCAGCACCGGCCAGCAGAAAGACCTTCTGGGCTATCTTTTTTGAGGATCAGAGGTGAGAGAGACGCCCTCATCCACCACTAGGCACTGAGGAAACACTGTCATGGTTTAGAGTGTTTCATCTGCTCTTAGTGCTGGAGTGAGAGGAAAACTTGCCCAGCATAAATGAGATGCAAGACAAGTGCTCCATGTGAAATTCATTGCTAATCTCATCAAACCTTTGACTTGCTCAGGGAGTACCAGTGTTCTCCTCCTTACAGACCTAAGGAGTCCAGAGTTTCGTGTCACTTCTTCCTGCCTCTTATTATCTTTCCTCCACTATAAATACTTTTTCCTCTGGCTAAGGTCACTAATTTACAGAAGATTTGTCAGCACTGCTTTGCAATCAGAAATGCAGGGTAGTTATTGCAGAGCAACAGAAAGCGTTCTCCTTTGCCCATCAGCACCGAGATGCCTCATGCCCAGTCCCCAGATGAAGCAGTTAATCAGAACTGAACAGCAAGCCTGACTCTTCAACACACAGCTTCAGGAGCAGGTAAATTTATCTGCTCCCATTAGGTCTTGGCTACAAAGACTATTTCTATTGTTAGCAGAAAACAGGAAAAGACAAGCGAAATACTCACAGCTTATCTTCCTCAATATCATAGTCCAAATCTGCAAACATTGTTTTGGTTACGTGGAACCTGTTCACCTGAAACTGATTCTTCCAGACACCCTGAGAAGAAAGAACAGAATAAACCCCAATAAACTAGTGATCTCAACAGAAAACTGCAGAGAATCAACCTGTCACCCTTGTCAATTCCCCTTTTTTTTTTGAACATCAAATTGGGCTCTCTGTTTCTATGTTGAAGATCAAAAACGTGTCAAAGTGTCTCTGATTCTCTGCTCTGAATGAGACAAGAGAAAGTCCTCGAGTTTGGATGCTCCGTGTTTCAAAACCCACCCATGTGCAGCATTTCCAGAGCACGGAACAAAACATGGTCCATTCTGGAAGCTGCTTCTTCACACGCTCTACCTGCCTAGCACCACGGCTGCTACAGATATTTACAGTTTTATCCCCTACGCCTGTTAAACATCTCCGTTTTGCTCTTAACTTCACAGCAAGTCACTTTTTGATGTTCGTCTCCTATCTCGGGAGGCTATGCAAAGCTCTTCGCAACTCGTTTTCACAAAAAGCCTCATTATTTCCCCAGGCTCAGGGCCTCCAGCTCAACTTTCTATTTAATTTCGGACGGTAATTAGCAGACACGTTTTGGTTTCGCTCATCCTTCGGCGGCACCAAAGACACGGTGACGCTGCCCCACACCGCGGCGGCGGCCTCCCGA